CACACAAATGTATGGATTTTCACTTGTTGTCGTTGATCAATTGGCACATTAATAAATTTGTATATGCTTATGGTGGTTCAAATGAATGTTTGACAAAATAACGGCGGCGTTTGACTTATTTCTTTCTTTTGTTTTCAGTTATATCTTTGCCACATCACGGTAAATCTTTCATTTGAGACGATGCTTACCTCACTTTTAATTTGACCCATTATTTCGCTGCGTGTTGCTATTAATACTAAAATAATTTGTTCAATTTAAAAAAGTACATTTATAATTATGTCAACATTTATACGTATAAGAATTTTGTTTTGCCAGATTTCGATAATGCCTCGGTCTTTTTTGGCAATTATTCAAAATACAGTATTTTAAGCGACGACAAGCTGAAAACAACGCGAACACCGGATCGCAACGAAAGCTGGCAATAAACTAAAAGCAGAGTGCTTGTTAAAGTCAACATCGGTGAGCAAAGTATTCGATTCTTCCATCTCCAACTTCACGCTCCACAACACCAAGTGTAATTTGTAAAAAACGAACGCTCTCTAAATTGAATGCTCCTACAATCAACTCTGAAAGCTATAGGAGAAATTCACCACAGTTTAGTGAAGGCTGCCCACTTGAGCAATTTCGTCAAAATTAAATGCTTCATTTTAAATACTCTCATTACCTTAAAAATTCCGTTGGCTTAGCTCTAATAAATATTTAAATATTTTAATGTGCAATTAAGATAAATATGTATACTGGAGATGTACATTGGGCTCAATTGCTGCTACCTTCAAGTTTTACTTCCGAGAGGATTCTAGTGTTATAAAAATTTCTGTCCCCCAGCCACGAGCTAAAAACAGCCAAAGTCGCGATTTCATCATAAATCTTTCTGTAAATTTTTTAAATGGAAGTTCCTTATAACTTACTCAAAATTCCAACCTACAGAAAGCATAGAGGTGGTTTTGTCAAAGTCCACAGACATGTACATTCTTCTTTCTTGATGACATACATACATACAGTGAGCTAAATAAAACTGGGACGCAATATTTGAGCATGTATGGATAAAATGGTGTTTGTTAAGCAATCAGCTATACTTTTACAAAAAATATTATACATTAAATAAGCTTAAGAAAAATAGCCAAAAACGTGCTCAAATGTCGCGTCTCAGTTTTTATTTGGTTCACTGTATATTAGGGCGGAGTAATTTTGTTTCGAAAAAAGTGTATGGCATATTCGAATTCTACGTTCGATTCTAAACCAAAATGATGAACAAACTATATACCAAATCAGTGCATTATACATTTTTCTGAACGAAATTAATTTTTCATTTACAAAATTATGTGTTTTTTTCATACAATATACTGCTTAGAATTAATCGAACAAAATACTCCGCCCTACTGTATACGCTTACAGCCGGTTGCACCAGCAATTTAAATGGAAAATGCTTTCTTATTTTCTGTCAATTTGCATATAATATTTAAAAAATTAAAATCATTTTTCACTTAAATTGCTTTTGTGAAACTGGCTGTTAGACTTATAGAATTTTTATAAAAATTCTGATTAAAAAGCTTGAAGTTTTGTTGAATTTTTGTGCGAAGTTTGAAATGTGAATTTCTATAAGGTTTGTGATACAATGAGCTAGACTTTTATAAAAAAAAACAAACACTAAACAAGAAAAAAATGGACAAAAAGACGCAAACCTATTTGTTTGATCACGAGTGAATGTATGTA